CTCGGCCTGATCCGGGGTCGGATACGGATGCCGCTCGTGGTTTTCGAACCATGTTTTCAGGACTCTGATGTTTGCTGATGTGAAGCGACTGCCCACTTTCGTTCCGCCCTCCGTGGCATTCGGCGTGTCTTGCGGTGGCTCACGTTCGTCGAAGAGTGGGACACCACCAGACACGCTTGAAGATGCAGATATCCGTCCGTCCTCAGATTGTGTTCCATTCACTGCATCGTCGGGGTTTCTCGAGTCTTTGGGAAACATATCGGAAAACGCTTCGTCAGAAAGGAATAGACTGAGGTCGAAATCATCGTCCATCTCATTGGACCGCGCATTTGTCAGAACATTGTCGGCCATTAACAATGACTTTTCCATCGCTTCTTCCCGTTGAATGACTTGAAATAGTCACAGCGAGCGCTGATATGAAGGTTCTCTAGTCTTGATAGTAATGCCTCAACGTGACGCAGTGAATTTGGCCGACGTTGGTCGAGAGTGGGGGCTTGAAGGAATGGGAATGCATTGATCACAGTGAGGTGGGGAGGTTGTCAAAGAAGGGCGGTGATACGGGGCGCTAATCATGCAGGCAAGATCCCAACGCCATTCCGTCGGCGCCTTACTCATCTCGGACTTTGCTGACCAAATCCTGTTGTACTTGCCCCAAACGTGATTGCCTTTGGTTCAAATGGAACAGATGATGATCTATGCAATGGGTCTAGATGGCTTGAGAAAAGGAATAAGACGACGATCAATGAGACAAAACGAGCAAAGCAGTCAGCAGATGGCTTAAATTTCGTATTTTCAACGGCAAAAGAGAACAAGTTGCATGTGCTAAAGTCTATTGTTATCTTTCTTCTTACGAATGGTAATCAACAATTTACACCACAAATCGCTCAGCAACGAGAGCGATTAACAAACATTACACAAGGAATAGATAAAATATGAGCCAGGACTTACTGAGACATCGGAAACAAGACACAAACAATAATACTGAGTAAAGCGAGAGACGGCCGTGATCTAGACAGAGGCAGGCTGTCTGCTTTAGAAACCTCGCTCGCATTCGCATCACATGTGGTTTCTTCATGGGTTTTCGGGCCTTATTCCTCAGATGCACTCCATATTTCCACCACCTAGCGCGATTGAGGGTATCGCAACCCTTGCTCACGATGGACCTTGTTACTGCCGCAACCCTAACGATCCACAACTTTACAGATCTGATAGGGTTCCAGGACAAGAGCTCTCACAACCAACACCTACTATCAATCGCGTCGATGGTTTAGTGGTAAAATTCTCCGTTGCCATCAAGCAGCGTCGGGGAGCCGGGGGTTCGATTCCCCCTCGACGCAGCTTTTTGCCTTGTATCGTCACGAGTCAGTCACTGTGCCAGTCTAGGAGATGATTTTATGTCGATTTTTTGCTTCATCGACATAATCCTAGCTAGACTGGCGATGGACGTTGGTCCTAGCTGACCATGAAAGTAGACTGAGGATTACAAGCATTGACTGGACGATAGAGGCCTTCAAGAATGGATAGTATGCCATCTCGGGCTCCAGTCGGCTTGGCCATTACATGCTGTTAGTGCAAGTAGCTCTTGTATATGTTCTGTGCATCCAACTTGTATCGGCTATACGTTGACGGTTTCGATCGGCAAGGGTCAGCTGTGTCGCAACACTTCTTCAATATGCATTGAATAAGCCGACTAACATTGCATCATTATCAATATGCTCATTTAGAATGAGACTGCTCAATGCAGTGATAAGCGAAATACCTGTAAAGTCAATCGTGTACTCGTTATGTACCGTGACGCGACTATGCTTCTTGAATGTGAGAAGCCTCAAAGATGTATCTCACTCCAATTTGGTCAGGACTGTCTTCTTCCTTCCTGCTTCTCATATGGAAACACTGCCCGACTGCGTTATTTGGGTTAAAGGAGTATTAATATCTGTTGTAAAATAACTTTGACGCTGTTGAACCTTGACAATCGTCGAAGCCCAGGGGTTCATCTTATCTTGCCTGGGCAACCCATGTCATGGCGCTATGGCGATCCTATCACACCACTGTCACCTGCCGGTTTTGGGGACTTTGCCCCACCGGACGTGCATCCCGCCGGTTGCCGGACTCCCGCTCTTCCATTACACTCTCTTAAACCACACCCATCCCACCCCTCGAATGTCGCCGTCACCAACTCTTTGCTCACTTTGTCTTTGTGGTAAGGCATTGAAGGTGTGTGCTTGGCCATCAAGTAGTCAAGAAAATTTCCTGACGAAGCAATGGGCACAATCAACAACCAGACCGGTGGCGGTTGGGGCTTGCTCAAGGGACTCCTCCTCCTCGGGTCCCTTGCATCCTGGGCTTGCGGAGAGCAGTTCCACGTCCAGCGCGCGGCGCAATACCAAGAGCTGGATGTGCGGAGCCCCAGAATCGGGCATGTCTTGGCTCACATGGATCGCATCGCATACGACGCAGATGTCACGCCTAGTGCGACCGCGCCGCCAGCCTCTACGAGAACACCACTGCTTGACACCTTTCAAGTGGCCGAGCCTGTCCTGGAGCCTACAGGGCAGGCAGTTACGGTCACGTTGATGGAGCACCAATTTGCCAACAGCTACGGTACACCTTTCGTTGGAGACTATTCGCCCCCAGACTTCGATTTTGATCACGTCGTGCTCAACTTCACCGTCGAGGTTAGGGGCAGGCAATTCGATCGCTGGGGCTCCGTGTACTTGGGCGATGTCAACATCTTCGCGACCTCCACCGCCGAGCCCACGTCATACGGCATCACCTGGACCTGGTTGAAGGATTCCACACCGTATCTGTCACTCTGGAAAGAGCCACAGACTCTCATATTCCAACTTGACAATGTCATTACAGACGTCTACACAGGCCTGCTCAACTCCACTCTCACGGCCACCTTCTTCAAGAGTCCCGTTCGGACCGGAGGACAAGCGCCAGCAGACCTCGTCCTGCCAGTTTCTGCCAACAAGAGTCCAGTCACTGCCAGCTTTTGGACGTACCCTGAAGAGAACGCCACTGCTTCTGTCCAATTCCCTCGTAACGTCAACCGGGCCGTCTTCTCGACGTCTGTCAAGGGACAAGGGAACGAGGAGTTTTGGTGGAGTAACGTCCCGCAGTCAGCCGTAGATGCTTTCGTGCCGGATGTGGGTAGCTATCCGGGATATTCGCCCTTCCGAGAGGTCCAGGTCCTGATCGACGGTCAATTGGCGGGTGTGCACTGGCCCTTCCCAGACATCTTCACAGGCGGCGTGGTGCCCCAACTCCATCGCCCGATTGTGGGTATCAACGCGTTCGACTTGCGGGATCACGAGATTGACATCACCCCGTGGCTGCCCCTTCTTTGTGACGGAAATTACCACACCATTGGCATCAAAGTTGTCGGGCTAGTGGATGACGGCAAGTCAAGCGCCAGCCTCACAAATACCACGGGTAGTAGTTGGTACCTTGTAGGCAAGGTCTTCCTATGGCTTGACGACGAAGGAAGCATCACGACGGGTGTCATTTCTAGGAAGACAAACCCTGAGCCCTCCATTGCATTCTCACAGACGCTCAAGCAAAACGCTACCGGCTTCAACTCGACCCTGGATTATTCCTTATCGGTGCAACGCGATTTCACGATCACCTCGTTCCTCACTACGCAGAAGGGCAACGGCACAGCAACTTGGAAGCAGAGCCTCTCATACTCCAACGTTGGAGGCCTGTACGCCAACGGTTACGGAGGCATCAATACGTTCTCGACCATTGGCGAGGAGACGTCAAAAGTTCCTGGATGGGACTACAAGACAACCTTTTCGTACCCGCTCTACTGCAACACAACCACCTCGTATCTCCCGGCAGGAAATTTGACTCTATGGGCACAGCTGGATCAAGGTCTCAAGCTTCACGTCCAGGGAAACACCGTCTACCCGACCGGCCTCGAAGCCTTTGAGGGTGAGGGATCGAAGTGGGTCGGCAGCGTCATTGATACGGACAGGAATGGAACCGCGAACTATTCCAGATACGCAGACAATACCGTTACCTCGGGAGCCGGGCGTACACACCAGATTTTCCATCTCAGGGGACTGGACAGTGATGGGACTTACGAGACGCCGGGGACGGAGCTCTACTTCCGGGATGTGACTGCGTACAACAACTCTGTGATAGCCGACAAAGAAGTCATTGCAGGCAAAGTTGTGACGGGGCGCGCTTAGGAGTGATCTCGGGGTTCATTCCACATCATATTCGAATTCGAAACACGTGTAATAATTCAAATAATATTGCTGGAAATAGGCTTGAACAAATATTGTAACCAGTGCACGGCTTGAGTTATGTATACTCATTGGAAGGGGTCTGGAATCCCTAAGAGTTTCTCAAGCATTGAAGGTATGGTGCACCGTCGTTATTGATGAGATTCTCAAAGTCAATTGTTCAAGCACATTAAATAGTCCCGCGTCATCCACGGGCCGCGCGGGAGAATCAGGTGCAACGGCTGTTATCACCCGGATTTTGGCACATTGTCTTGCAGACGAGACGAATTTGGCAGCAGCTAAAACCCGAAACTTAGCTAGCAAATCATTACAAAACATTACGCCTATGGTAGTATTATCAAGCAGTGGGCAAACACACTTTGATGGGAGCCTCGGTTGTGCCTCTTTGAGGTAATCGTTTATCTCCGCATTTTTCCAGAGATGGAACTCAATCGCAATTACCAACCAATCTTCTGGTCTTAGGTCTTAATACCCTCCGAAATCATGCCTTGCTAGACCTTTGAGGCTTTGCTTTCGACTCTATGGAAGGCTCGCAAGCACAACAGTTGAGCAACCAAAGGTAAGATCAAATGCAAGAAATCTCAACTGATGAAGGAAATCGGGTGTAGTACGAGACCTAGCGAGATGCCGCGTCAGCTCGGGATTTACATGTTACTTCTCACATCAACTTCAATCTTCATCATCTATCCTTCTTTTCATTGCCACAAGTCACCTAAAAAATAAAAAAAACTTCTCACAACTTACAAGATGTCTTACACTAAGGCCAATCACAACGCCAGCTACCCGGCCATATCTGCATCTAATCCCGCCAACTCCACTGCGGGTAAAGTCGTCCTCATCACCGGAGCTGGATCAGGCATCGGACAGGCAGCGGCCACCTCCTTTGCCCCCGCCAGTGCCAAGGCCCTGATTCTCATCGGCCGCCGCACGGAACCCCTGACGAAGACAGCAGCAATCATCTCTCAAAAGGGCCCTGACGTGCAAGTTCGCCTTCACGGAGCCGACATCAACGATGTCAAGACCTTGAAGTCTGTCATGGCTGAGACTGTGTCTACCTTTGGACAAATTGGCATCGTCATTCACGCCGCTGGCATGCTCCTGGCTCTCGGCCCAATCTCGACAATGCCTGTCGAAGAACTTTGGAAAGCGCTGGAAGTCAAAATCAAGGGTACTTTGAACGTGACGCAGTCTCTATGAGCAATTGGTACCTCAGAGAAGAGTGCCGGTTCGAAACCTGTTCTGGTCAGCCTCAACACCGCAGGCATTCTTATGCCTCCTATCCCTGGAATGGGCGGTTATATCGTCAGTAAGGCGGTTCTGCCGAAGTTGGTGGAGTATCTGGCTGCCGAAAATCCCGACAAACTAAGAATTGTGACTATTCACCCCAGTCTCATCCGAACGCCGATGGCGGTGGAACTTGAGGAGGCGGCATTGAAGTTCCCTTACGATGATGGTATGCTCTCTTCTATACTCTCACCTCTTCCATGATCCCTCAACAGTAGAGATGTTGTAGCCTATCTTTTGATTGCTTACTCGATTTGGTCTCTCTCCCTGTAACCTACCTCGTCTGGGTCGCCAGCCCCGAGGCATCTTTCCTGAATGGCAAGTTTGTGTTCGTGAACTAGGATGTGGAGGAGCTTAGATCAACTTCGCCTTTGCTACTATCGACCCATCCAGCTTCAGGGTTCAGCCAGCGTCACCGACGGACGTGGGCCTCTACAGACGTCTTATGCACTTGAAGAAAAAAGATCCGGGCCTGAAGGTTTTTATCGCTATTGGTGGCTGGACATTCAACGATCCAGGCCCCACGGCCAGGACCTTTTCTGATTTGGCCGCATCTGTCACGAAACAAAGGCTTTCATCGATTCTCTCATTTAGTTCATGTCTACCTATGGATTTGACGGCGTTGATCTGGACTGGGAGTATGCTGTGGCCGAAGATCGATCAGGAAGGGGCGTTGACTATGTGAATTTCCCCAAGTTCATGAGCCGACTAAAGGCGTCCTTTAATTCAGGTCAAAAGGGGATTTCTATTACACTCCCGGCATCTTTCTGGTATCTTCAGCATTTTGATATTATAGCACTGGCTCAAACAGCGCACTGGTTCAACATTATGTCCTGCGACCTACACGGAGCTTGGGACAAGAACACCACCTGGGTGCCTGTCTGAATGCGCGTAGCAACCTTACCGAAGTCGATCTGGCCCTCGATCTTCTTTGGCGCAACAATATCAACCCCAGTCAGGTCGTCATGGGCCTTGGATTCTATGGGCGAATCTTCACTACCACTAGCCCGTCTTGCCTCGAACCAGGTTGCACATACGAATCCGGGGCACAAAAGGGCAAATGCAGCCGAGAAGTGGGTGTTTTGCTCAACTCCGAGATCGACGACCTTGTCAATCAACACAACATAAAGCCAAAACTGTACAAGAAAAAGAGGCCGTGAAAGTAGCTGCTTGGGGCAATTCGGCCCAGTGTGTGGCCTGCGATGACGAAGAGACCTTCCAACTCAAGTCCGAGTACGCTCAGAGTATGTGCCTAGGCGGCTTGATGGTTTGGGCAATCAGTCACGATACGAAAGATTAAGTACAACAAAGCGCTGAAAAAGGTGGCGAACCGCAAGATCCCCTACTGCTCGTGAACGTGGGTATGAAAGATGACCTGATCGAGTTCGTCGACATTCCCAACGAACAATGCAGGTGGACCAACTGCAACGTTGGCTGTGCTCCTGGATGGGCGATTGTACCGCGCAGCGACCCAGGGGCGCGAGGCAAAGAGTACATATTCGATCAGACGGGCTGCGATGGTACGGCCTTCCATACTTTCTGCTGTCCAGCGACTTGGAAGCAGCCAAAGTGCGGTTGGTACACGCACAACAACGGGAAATGCACCGGCAGCTACCCTAATAACATGGTCCTCATTGGTTCGAAAAAGAAGTATTGCAACAATGGGCAGTTCCAAGCAGCTTGCTGTACAAAAGATACTCAACGCATCAAGCTGTATACGCTCTATGAACTAGGCGCGTTTTCGAAATGCGACGATCAAGCAAGCTGTCCTGCTCAGAGCGGCGACCAGTCAATGAAGACTTTATTGGCTTCATCGTCTATTGGTATAGGTGGCGCCGAAGTTTGCAAGAAGCGTGAGTACCAAATTCCTATCAAGCCGAAGCCTTCAGTAGTAAGTAGGATCTTGATCTGACTATAGTGTTTCCAAAGTCTTGCGTGGAGGCCGCATGGTTGCCAGTGGCGAGCACAAGCTGTGCTGCAACACAAGCAATAAGAAGATGACCTTCTCCGATTGTGAGTGGTATTCCAATACGGGCTCTGGTCCTGCTATCAGCCGCGAGGACTTTTGCGCAGCGAATTGCCCAAATGATCGCGTCCGCGTGGCCATGGACCTGAGAGCCCTGGGGTGCTCTGGTGGCGGCAAGGAAAGATGCTGTATCCCTAACTACTACGAAACCGTTGAAGTAGAAAACGAAAAGCCGGGCGTATGGAGGGACTCTTTGAAGGTGAGGTATTGAGTTGGTATTAAAACTGGGTAAATAATTGAAGAAAAAGACTAGGAGTCATGAATTAATATTTGAGTATAGACGCAAATATAGCATTTATTAGCTAGACTTACTTAACTGTATTTCAGACCTATCATGGTATTACCAGGAACATTCCAAAGCCTTTGCCGCTAACACATTTCCCAGAGTTATTATCTATTCGCGATTCAACCCTTATACTTACTTTGTACTCACCCACATCGCCCGTCCTTACGGCGGTAGGTGATCCGGCCGCACTTGAACGCCGTAGTAGCTCTTGACTTCAGAGGGTTGTAACCAATATGCCCTCAAAAGAATGAAGATACAGACTCCCGAAGTAAAATTTCGTGATGTTTCCTCAGAATAGGGCAACCTCGACATTCCGCCTTCTTGCTTGCTCATCAATATCATACGCATCATCTCCTGAGTTCCAAGCTTCATCTAGCATCTCGGTAATGTTACGCGCATTCGCTGTCTTGCCGTATGGTTGATATTTCTCTGTTACTCGCCGGAGTGATTCCATCCAGGTGGGCTGGCGAAGCAAGATAGCCACTTCAAGCCGCGCAGCCACATAGGGATAGAGCAGTGCATTAGTCGTGAGAAGCTGTGAATATTCAGGCCGGCTGGTCGCATCACAGAGCGCGTCCATGGACGCGACTAAGCGGCCTAATAGTACCTCGGCAGAAGGAGTGGCAGGGCATGATGTTGATGCAGCTGCCGTAATGCCTGTGTTTGCACGGATGCGTAGTCGTCGACCAGTCAGAATACCTGCTAGACGGTACGCCTCCCACAGATGGATCTGCGGTATCTCCCCCGTTTCTCCAAACCATTGCAAGAAATATGTGTCAGAATCTTCGTCCTGAATATTCGCAAAAATATCGAGCAAGGATCTTGGGAGGCTTGAAACAGATTGAATGCCGCCCCTTTTCATACCTATTGATCCTTGTGCAACCCGCAATCTTTTCCAGATTCCCAACGACAAAGTTGAGCGACCACGAACAAAGGTCGGCATGTCCATGAGACCCATTAGCTCTAAGGCAAACCGCGCTTCAGGTTCGGATAGAACAGGTGAGTTGTGGAGGTCTTTGTTGAGACCGTAGACTGTTGTCATGAGCTCGAGGTGGATGGACCAAGGAGCACTCTGAAATAGCTGTGTTCATCAAGGATTAGTGTTTCAGTCTGATAGACATAAGCTTTTCCAAGACATCAATCGTCGGATATAAAGCTCAGGAGACGAGACATAAAAGATTTCATGCATCACGGTAAGGCACTGTAGTGTAATATTGACGGCTTGCAAGATAACTCACATTCAGGGTGCAGATGAAAAGCCCAGCGTACATTGCGCCAAGATCAACACTCCCATTGAATGATTCCAATTGGTTGCGGAAGAGCGAAAGGCCTCGAAGGTAGTACTCTTCGAAAAGTTGTGAAGGATCATCTGGGTTTGAGATGTAGAGGTGAGTGGCCAGCAAAATAGCACAGAGTGCTTCAGATCTCTCTGCTAGCTGTCGAAGCTTCGATCTGAATAAGCCATCCCGTCGACTTGAATGAAGCATAAAGACAGTAGTCTCATTGACTAAAGTAGGATACTGTCAGTGGCTAGCACAGCGTAGGGTATGAAGTTCAGATTTGAAGCATGGAGTAAGGTATTCAATTTTGGCATGCCACCAGACCCGTAAGAGATTTTCACAGGTATGATAAGTCGCGCCTATGATCATTTCACTCACATTCTTCCAAAAGACGCCTGTCTTGCTCTGTACGGCCCAGCCAGGTTGTCTCGGGTGGCGCCGCGCCGAACCCAGCCGCGGCTGTGAGTGCTGTTGATGGAACTGCAACAGCATTTGGATTGAGCTGTTTCAGAGTCCTAGACGAGCCTTCTCCTGTAAGGCTGTCAATTTCTCTTGCTTTTTCATCGAGCTTAGATTTCTTCTTGCGCTTGGCGGGCGGAGGCGCTTCGATTTCGACAGGTACGAGCGCTCCAGCAAAGCGCCCCCTCGAGGCAATACCCGAACCCCATCGAAGGACAGTCTGGTATCCTTCGCATTCGACACCTTGACCTATACACTGTAAACATTCGGGCCGGCCCTCGTCGCATTTGCGGTGGCGGCGTTTGCAGTTCAAACAGCCGCTCCGCGTTCTCGACATGGCCGGTGCAGTTGAGCTGCCATCGATGTTTCTCGATTCTAAGCTGCTTCGACGTGTACTCTCGGCTGAACGGGAGGCTCAGCTAACTCAACGCAGTTCGCGATCGTGGAATGACTTTAGTGCATGGATGAATGACGATACTCCTGTTCGATACTCTTCCCGCCTGGGGCTCCGGTATTTGGAGAGATAAAAATACTTCCACTACCGAAACTTAACATACGTTGGCTGGTAGTCAACCCACTCCAGTGGCTATGCTGACTCAGTGAGGCCTGTTCATCCCGTCGGCTGTGGCACGGTCGTCCGCCGAATTCGGGCATTATTGACGCCCGATTAGCGCTCACCGCAGCAGCCCTAAATGCAAGCCTGGCCACCAGGGATCTTTCGGGAGTTGTTCCGGTTCTGAAAAGGGGGCTGGAAGGTCACACCACGCCTTGTCAACGAAGTCTAACCCTCTGAGACTTACGGAAGAGCTCATGGTGAATGTTGAAATAATCTTTGCATATACTTGTTTGATCGTGCTAGGATTGCACAGAATGCTTTGCAACCGCTCATTACCCGTGATCCCTTGCCACAGTATTGCGACTGTACACCCCCAGATCCTGTAACCAAGTCATTCCAATGACTCTCTCATGCTTTTGGCGTCAACATCAGACGCCAGGATGTCGATGATGTCTTTTTCATTTTTTTCAGCAAAGTAACCTCGCACAGCTTTGGGGGGAGGTGAATGAGAGTCATTGGTGTGAAAGGAAAGTTTGTGAGGTAGATTCTGAAATAGCCCGAGAAAGTCAAAGGAACAGCTAGTCAACAAACTTGCTAACCCCCCAAGCTACGTTACCCAGTCGGGAAAAAGTCTTGGATACAACAAGACTGAGCAACGATGCACATCAAATTTTTTTTCAATCAAGATGTTTTCAGCTGTTGAAGAGCTGCATTACCTCCTCTCATTCATTGGGTTGCTGCTATCTCAAATTTTAATTATTCAAGCATTGTCTCTTGGAAGAGAATCCGCGGTGAGATGATCGCACTGGCTAGACGGCATTTTTCATGTTTTGCATTCTTTTTGTCTATTCCATTTTATATGCAACCGTAGTCAAATAAGCAGCTTCTGTATCTGTCTATCCAGTTGTTTCCGATGTGCTTCCCCTACAGGGCTCGGCACGTCTGCCAAAATATTCTTGATCCTTTCCATCAAAAACCCCCTGGGATTACACTCGCTGTGATCGACGCCGCCCTTATCCGACGGCCGCCCAATATCGTGGATCACCAGGTTCATCAGCGTCGAGTATAGCGTCAATACGCTCTCGTCGATGTCGTCGGCCTCTGGAATCGGCCATAGACTTGCCCTCATGAGACAAAAGGTCATGCTGCCAAGTATCATGCTCTCGCACCGGTGTGGCCCCATGTATGACGCATGTCTACACCACCGAGGCCCTTCATCTACGCTCACAAGCTTCTCTGCCAGAGTGCTGAAGACGTCCATGATGGACTGGATTGTCTGCGTCCTGATGGCAGCGATTCGTTCTATGGAATAGGTGTCAGTGAAGAGGTTCTCATAAAAACTTGAGATCTAAAGAGAAAAAAGGCAAGTAGGATTGCTACAGTGAACGGGGAAAGAGACTCACCGATGACGTCCGGCGGCATACTCAAATCGCCAAGCCCGCTCTCGTCACCGAACAAATTACCACTACTCTCCATTACCATTCGCCGTGCTGTCGACTCAAAGAGCTGTTTATGGCCCAACTCCCACGAAATCCACAGTAATTTGGGCATCAAAAGCTCTCCCTCGGGTCCGGCGATGCTACTACTAGTCGTTTCTGGTGACTCTGCGATGCCCGAAACCCACGTCTGTAGCCAAGGCGACAATACGGGAGTTGCATCATAGTAGTGCGTCAGTACCGTCAACTCGTAAAGCTTAGCAATCGACAAGGCTCGCGGTATTCTCTGGAACTGGCTGTGAGCGATGCTCGCGAGGAGGTCAAAAGAATCGGGCCTGTCGTCGCGAAGGTGGACGATCCAATCTTTTGCCGGCGATGTCGTCGTTCCGTTGATTCCGGATGATGAAAGGCTGATGAGATCGGAGCTCGGTGCTGTCGGTTTAGACTCGGCAAAGCTGCCGTGTAGCATGCGGTCAAAGACGGGGGAGATGCGTGCCATCGTCCGGGAACAGACGCGGAAGCTCCGGGCAGGGGTGTTGTCGACTGCCGTTCCGACGACGAAGACAACGTCCCCCCTTTGATCCATTTCTGTGAGAGCGGGAACGCTGGGTTCCTGAATGGGAGACATGGTTTTGCGGACTGAGTTGTTGGGGGTGGAAAGAGAGAAATAATGAAAGAGTGGCTTCTCTGCCCGTTGGCGAGTCATACTCTAATGATACTAGACCGCTGGAAACAAACACCTCGTTCGACGTTATATCTGTTGAGGCTCTGAAGAAAACATGGCCTGGCTACTGGACCATTTCCCGTATCTTCTCAGCCTTATTGCTATATAAAGCGCTCCGGTCCGTATGCATTGAACAGAAATTGATCTTGCCCCGTGGCGCAGGGCTCTTTTCAGAGCAATTGCGCCACTCTTGGCCAGGAGCTCAAGGCTAGAGGGGGCTCATCCGTTCTTTATTCTAGTGGACCCGATCGGACGGGTCAGTCAATCGGAAATGTCACCGGGTGGTTCAAGGGGCTACTCGGAGGGCGCGGGCGCCGAGCTTTCGGCAGCGTCCCGGTGAATACCAAGACCCGATCGCTTCTGCCCTGGAACCCGATTGAAACAAGCGGATTTTGTCCATTACTCAGACTCGCTGCTTAATACCATTGGTTTCCGTCCCCCCCCCCCCCCCCCGAATTGTTGCACATGCAATTGCTCCATACTCAGCGGGAAAAGCAAACTTTCCTGTCAGGAAGTCCGGAGGACCAGAAATCTGTTTATGGAGATAATAGTGCTTCATCGCTTGCTCGTGAACATATATTGTGAGCACAGCTCAAGTTGAGATGCTAGCCATGGAGAAGATTCGCAACTCAAATTCGCCACCCAAGCCACAAGATGCACCTTGATGTGGAGAGCCCATCTAGGTTCCTGCGAAAACTTTTGATGCTATTCATGAGCCACTGGTATCTCCGCTATGTCTCGATCAATCACTATGAACTGAACCAAAGATCTGACCAGACTTAACACAATTATCAGGACCATTTCTGCAGTTCTCTCACAGTAGCATTGTCTCCATCATCATCACTCCGCTTGACGCTACGCTACGATGTGCCTTGGAATCAGCACTATTATCAGGGCTTGGAGGGAACGGGGCCTTGACAAGAACGAGGACATCAAAGAAAATCAGGATCTATATGATTTGGGCAAGAAGATCGTCAGTAGAGAACCAAGCGCAGCAGAGGAAATGCGCATGCCATGCGTACCCGACTCAGGATCTGAAAACATAGACGAAGACACAAGGGATGAAGGCCTCGTGGACACGGACTGGGAAACGATCAACAGTGATTCTGACACCGGCGACGGGGCTTATACCTGCAAAATTACCGGCCAAAACACCATCTACAGCACGAGTGGAGTGGAAGTTTTGATGCCAGATCTGCCCAGCAGAATTTACAGCTGGGAAGTCAAACTCATTGCCAACTTACGGCAAAGCCGATTCATTGCTTTGCCGGACGAGATTTTGCTACAAATCATGCACGAGTCCGAGCTCAGCGACCTCTACATGCTGCGACAAGTATCATGGACTTTTTGGCGCTTATATCAAGACCGTACGTTCAACAAACTACATTCCTCGAATATATCAAGCTCCCCGAGTGGCTTGACGATGGACGAGTCCGTGGTGAGGGCTGCGAAGGAGCAGGCATTCTGTCAGGCTTGCCGTACATCAAGGGAGTCGGCAGATTTCAGAAAGCGTCTGTCGAAGCTGGAGGACAGCCTGTTCTGCTCGTACTGCGCTAGAGACCACCCGAGACTTCAATTTTCAAGTCTGTGGCGGCAAAGCCTTGGCCATCAGCGTTTTTGCCGGCTTTCCGAGGGTTCCATTCAGCTATGTGCCCATATCTCAGTACCCCTTGTCAACTTGGGACGAGATTTACATTTAGCCACACTCGATTGGCTTCGCTCCGGAGTGAGAAAGAATTTACCCTCGCCACGTGGATGGTGTCTGGAAGAGTGCTCAGTTTGCAAAGAGATTGGCGAGGGGCTTTTGATCCAGAAAATGAAGCCGCCTTCGATTCGTGGAGAGATCAGGACATTCAATACGAATCGCGGAGCAAAGTCCTTGATTAGGTTCTATACCGTATCTTGGAAGTTTCCCGTGATGCCAGTATCAGACGACCAGCCATTTGACGACACCATTCTAGAAACCAAGTTCAAAGAGCTTCAAGGAAGGTTTGGACGCTTGCTTTGTCCACACAGAACTTTCAAGCAGCTGATGGAGCCCCTCGATCCTGATTCTGAACTCAACATCTTGGAAGGTCGCCCAAGCCCACCATTAGGCGTAAGGAGTGCCTTCTCGTGGGCATTTAGCCGATCCCAGTCGCGAGATTCTAGGATTGCCGCAAGGGGTCCGTGGTACGCAAGGTCATCATCGTCGCATAACGGTCGGGCTCACTCAACACAATGTCCTATTTGTCATGCGCGCTTTGATTGGAGCTTAGAGGGAGGTTCCATCCACTTGACGAGAAGCGGCGGGGAGTTCACTCCCAAAGTCAACGAGGTTTACGGTTGGAAGGATGAGCCCTACGGTCTGAATGGTATACTCGCTTCGGAACTAACTTCCTATGGAGTAGTCAGCGATAGTGAGGCTAAACACATACTTTGGTGCGATAGAAAAGACTGTAGGAACGGAGGGGACATGAACTACTATTCACGACAGCTTCAGAAGTATAGAGTATAGTACCATATTTCTTACTAAATATATTGAAAGCGTGTAGGGTATAAGGGACTCATGCGGTGTAGTGCTTTAAAGGAACTACTAATACCTATAAAAGTAACACAAGATGCCTCCTTCGATCGGCTTAATACGGCCTTAATTAGAGGAGTTACTATTTACGAATTAGGTATAGTATTAACTAAATTAAAAAAAAAATAAACTTCCTTAATCGTTTTATATTATTACGTTTGAAAATAAATTATTCAAAAAGCTCTAGTTCGATTTTAAAAAAGTATATATTTAATTAAAATAAAAATCCGTATTACTAAATCGTTTATTTCTAATCGTGGCCCTTCTTTTTATATTTTATTTTCATTAGCCCTCTTATTATTATTTTTTATTTGATTAGTATTACTAATATTGGAAATATATTGAAAATACACTAATATAAAGACATTATAAAGAAACATTGAGAATGTCTTAACGTAGAGAAATTATAGAGAAATGTTGATTCGCTTTCTAATTCCTTAATTATTATCAAGATCTACGTCTATACACCCTTATAGTCTGTTTAAAAAACAGAAATAGAGGGCTTGTTCAAGATAAGCACGGCAAACATAGTCTCAAACACCAAGAAGAGAAGAGGTAATTGCATGTGTCAATTGGAAGCTGCTTCACTCCTGTACGTGAATCTATTCCTAAGTTCTCCTTTCCCCGTTCTTTATCACCGCGTGCGTTGCCTTGACGGGCCTTGTATTGAACTCATCCCAAATCCTGTCCCATTCTCTTCTCGACGACTTTCTCGTCGATCGCGGCCTTTAACTCAGGCACCGACATACCAAGGTAGTCAGCGGCGTCTTCCAAGTTCACGTTGGCCTCAATCCAAGTTGACAAGTCACTATCCTTGGTGCCGTATAGGGTGTCCCATCCATGCTTCGCGCCAAACAAGGCAGCACCAACGATGCTTCCAACGGTTTCGCCTGGGTTGCGGTCATCGGCGCGAGTAAGCAGAGCCTTCTCTTGGGCGCATTTGAATCCCTTGGGCGCGGCGGCGTCGTTGGTCGGAGTAAAGCGGGCGGTGTCAATAGAGAGACCCAAGATCCCCAAAATCTAAAAGTTCAGTGAAGCCATGACCACCACTTTCATCGAATTCCCCGATGCTTACAAGCTCCTCAAAGAAGCATTGGACGCTGCTTTGCCCGATGTCGCCATCAGTGGTTCGGAGATTGCCCTTCGCTTGATTAACGAAGCCGAGACGGAGACCCGTGGTTCCACCGCTAAAAAGCATACCGCTATCGACATCTCAGATGACGAGGAGCCTGACGAGACCCCTACCAAGCGAGCCCGCCGAATTCTGTTCAAGGACGAAATCGCCGCCCGCGCCGCGTCCGCGAACGCTCGCGCGTCGTCCTCCGCCGCGAAGACTCCGACCAACACCGGCATTATCTTCGCCGCCTCCCAGAGCAAGATCGACCGCCTGACGATCGACAGGACTTACTACAAGTACCTTTCAGAGAAGATGCACTCGATTTTGCCAGAGGTCGGTCCGTTTGAAGTCATCAATTGGGGCTCTGGCCTCCATGCCTTCATTTACGAGAATGAGGGATTCATCGATGTCCCACGCGTTGTCGCCGTGATCCGGGCTATTGTCGGCGCGTTGATCGAGAACGACGAACCCATGGGTCGTCTCCCCCTCAACCAAATCTCGTACAATCTCAAGATTGCGGTTGTCACCGGAATCTTCACGAAGTCCGACTCGACCGCCCGCAAAGGTTGGGCCACGGTTCACGAGAACCAGCTTGTTGACGCAATCAAGTCGCGCAGCGCTGACGACATTTGCCTCACTGCGGGTGCCGCCTACATGTACGCACAGGAGCACAGCTACGCCCAGCTCTTTGCTCTGGGAAAAGACGGACTCGTGGAGTACATCAACAACCAGAATATCACCCTCGCGCACATCGGCGCGATCCTCAACGTCGCCAACATTGACGGCTTCGACGACGCCGCTGAGGCAGTACAGACAGTCAACTTGTGCCTTGGCTAAACGCGCGCTGAAATGAGGTGGGATGGTGACGGAGGAACAGGAATGGCTATTGCTAGGAACCGACCATACCAAGTGGCAGGCAGGTCGAGAATACAGGTTTTCGGTTGATCATGCACTTTGTTCTCTTTGTGATTTCTATGATTTGCTACTCGTGATCTATTAAGTGTCTTGACATGCTTCTCAACGATTTTAGGAAATCATTAGAAGGGATATACATACCTATATCGCGGTGGCCTTGCGGAGATATATTTGACCAGTCTTCACTATAGTCGCTATAGATTTCGTGGGCGAAATAGTTTATACTTACGGGAGGTAATTATTGGAACTTACCCATAATAACCTCGAGATTTCACAAGGATTTCTCAGTAAAAATAAATCAAAATAATAATAATGTTATAACAATAATAATAATTATACTCATAATTGTAATAATAATCATTATTAAAAACTTATAGTAAAAAAGAATAGGTTTACTTAAAGTTATTATTTAAATAAGTTCTTAATTTATAATAAATATAAATAAATATTAAGTTAAGTAGTTATTCGAGTACTAATTTAACAATTAATAAGTCTATTTAAATTCTAGTAGTGCATTAATTTACTAAATAGAACAAGACTTAATAGATTAAGAATAAATATAAAAAGAAAACTATAAAATATGTTTATTATAAATTATTTATTATAAATTAGTATAATAACTTATAGCCTTAATCTTTTTTATAGAGCGGTTATTTATTTAATTATTTATTAACAAATTTAAGAAGTAAATTAAGGATAACTATGTTAATTTACTTAATAAGATAAGAAGTATCAAGTACTATTTGGAAATGTTCTCTTAAGCTCTATCTACTTCTTTGCTCGCTAGGGTGGACTTTAACAAGCCGCCTGCCTTTAGTGACCACCACAACGCAAGTTCTTTTCCAGGCGTACGATCACGGTGCCGAAACGTCCTACCTCCAGCTTGCTGCGGTACAAATTCCAGTGTTTTTCCCTTCGAGAACTGTTTGATGTGTTCTACGCATCGATCTATCGACTTCTCAAGACACTTGGTGTACAACGTATCCTCGTTATCTTCGGGGTCAATGTCCGGAAACACCCTGTCGAGCACATCACCCCCATCAAGCTCTGGCGTCAGCTGATGCAGGGTCGACGCAACCTTGTCTACAGCCCCATCATACAATGCAAAGAAGACGCAGTGGTTGCCCTTGTACTCCGGCAAGTGGCCAGTGTGCATGTTGATCATCAGTCCCGCGCGTGCCATCAACTTCTTGCCAATGTACTTGGTCCCCGAGACAATAGTCAGTTCCGGCTGCCACTTCTCGGTAGCATCCCATACTGCGCGGCAGTTGACGCTATCAACCACCAGATCTGGCGCGGGCGAAACGTGGTCTGATGGCACAAGTTTGTCAAAGTGCGCCGCGCGTCGGACATCGTGACCGAAGAAGCCGCGTCTGAGGCCGTGGTACTGTTGCCAGCAAGCGTCGACAACACGGCCCTTGTTCATCAGCTGCCGTACTTGACCGTCGCTAGTCTCTTGAACACAACGGTAGCCAGGGAAGGCCTGGTCTAGGCGGTATCGCAGGTAGCGGTGCTGAGGACCGTCCGAGCAAACCAGGAGCAGCCTCAGCGGGGTCTTCAGAGCCTCGTTCGTTGCCAAGGCCGGGCTCGGGCTCGGGGTCCGAGATCTGTAGTTGATTGCGGGAGGCAATTTGCCACGATCTGGGTGGAAGAGAATGTGGACAGGATCATGCTCGCCCGAAAATGATCGTAGAATTGCGCGGGCCATGCCGGGCGCCTGAGCAAAGCCTCCCGTGTTGTTGCCACCGGTGATGATGAGCTGACCGCCGCCTGCTGTAGGGATTCTCTCAAAGACTCCGAGACCAGTAGGCGTGAACGGGCGGACACAGTACTTGCGATGTCCCCCAGGGTACATGGCATTCGGGCCACGGCTTTTTGCGACTGCATACCCTTCCGGGAAATAGATGCGCGCAACCTCTTCCAGCTCATCGTAGAGAGCCTTCATCTCGGGAGAGTCTGGGTTTGGACGGCCCAGGCCGACGTAGCCGTATGCGCCGCCAAAGACAAGGATATCTTCCCCAGTCTCGCGGTCTTTTGCCACAGTGATGTTAATATCCTCGACTTTGTGTCCCCTTCTATGGATTTTCATCGAGTTGCGCATCTTTGGGTCCAGGTTGGGTATCTGCAGCCAGATACCTAGGACCCCCTGGATGAGATTTTCGCTGGCCGTTCCCTGGAGCAGTGCGCTTCCGGTCGTACCAGGACTCAAAATGAAGTGATCAGCCTTCAAGTCGCCGTTCTCTGATTTCAAAACCGTCACCTCACCGGCAGAGTTGCGCTGGATGGCCTGGACCTCGCAGTCCCAAATGAACTCAGCGCCGAGGTTGGAGATGGAATCGATCAACTTGCCCACGAATAAGTGAATGTTCACCGTAAAACCATCCACGATGATGCCTCCAGCAAGATGGTCTGCGGCAGCAGCGGGGCGGAAGACAGGATATGTCTCCAAGAATTTCTGGGGAGATGGTGCCTCCAGAAGAGCCCCAAGGTTTTGGTTGAGCCCAACCGATGCTTCCAAGGCCACATCCTCGACGTACAGGCGTATGATGTCTTCGTGAAGCCCGACATCCTCGAAGAGCTGAGGCTCGTTCTTCATCAGCTCCCTCCAGAGCTTTCCTGATTCAACGTTGACCTCATGGATGTTTTTCTTGAAGTGTGCCGCCATCCAGCCTGGAACACGCTCGAAAGCACTGACCCAGTCATTCTCTGCGGCGTTGAAATCCTCAGGAGACTTAACACTCCATCCACCTCCGCGAACGGTCTTACGGAAGATAGACTGCATGTCTTGGTAGATCTCGCTGTCCTGCTCGTTGTAGTTGTCCGCCTCGGTGTTTGTGAACATGCGGGCATTGTGGCCGCCGCTCGTGACTCCCAGCGCGGTCCAGTCTTTGAGCTGGCAAGCCCGAGGGTCGGGACCTTGGTCGACGACGCGAACTTTGTAACCGCGCTTGGCAAGGAGATGAGCGGCGATGAGGTTCATGATGCCGGCGCCGATCAGCAAAACGTTGATTTCGCTAGGTGAAGACCCCTTGGTCTCGATGTTGTCGTTGACGCGTTGAGTATCAGCTTCGGCACGGGCCCTGGCGTAAAGCATCTCTGCTTCACGAAGGACAGCTTCTTCCCAATCCTTCTTTGAGAGACCATCCACGTGCTCAGGGAAGGCGGCGATGTGGTACAAGCGGCCCCTAGCATGGTGTCTCAAACGAGTGATAGCTTCAACATCTCTCACGAGCAAGGACTTGGGGCTATGGCTAGACTGCTCCAACCACTGATCCATCAGATCACCAGTGACTTCTGGGCCGTCGCAGATCCATACATCCACCTCATTTTGGTTGGACAAAGGGGCGAAAAGATCAGACTGGGGATCGTGTAAGCTGATGTAAGTGGACTTTTTCCTCCCGCCACGAATGGAAAGAATGGTTGTGGTAACAAGAAACCGCATGATGATTTTTGCCTTCTCTCCGAACAAAAGCAGACTGAAGAAAAGGATCAAAGAAAGAAAGGAGGAGAGTTCGTGCTCAACTGATTTGCTTAATTCAGCAGAACCCAAGCACTGGCATCCGGACCTACCTCTTTATAGACAGTCCACGAAGCAACTACGGCAGACAGCCTTGCCACAGAAAATCGTCGGGAGAACTCTTCGAAGCTTCCCAACACGTTCCGAATCACGACTTGGGTGCCTAGAGCGAGGGGAGGCTGTAGATGCACGACGTGGGGGACAAGTCGTCTCGTCAAATTTTCACATCACCCTTGAGATGACTGCAGCACCGCAGTCAAAGCACATGCAGATGTACGGTGCCACCCTGAACTCGCGGCAAGGAATCCCAAGACATGTCGTGAGATGGTCTTGTGGCCCCTTCCAGATGTTGTGTCCTGCGGCGGATTTCCACCGACTTGCCGCTCGGCCTGACGAATCAAGTCTCGGGACTTGAGTGACTGCGACTCGACGATTATCATTTGTGGCCGAGTCAAAGTTAGCTAGAAGAATCCAACCGCTCTTCCCGAACCGTCACCTCCGTCAGCAGCTCGTTCAGTCGGACTGCTGTAACTAATGAATTGGATTGAGACATGCTTGAGGTTGAAGTCCTACCGAGGCTTGGTGCGCGTGTAACAAAACTTTACCCTACTAGCACCTATAGTAATTGTCAATCGTTCGGGGCAATTCGATGCTGTGTCGGAGTCTAGCCTCTAGGACTAGACATAAACCCTCCGAAGAACCGACAAGGGCTCATGTGTGGACTGCTTGTTGCTGCCTAGACGACGTCGAAATAGGTATAGTGGATCAAGGGGATACAAAACATTCCCCTCATTTGTAATTCGCCTTGCTGCGGCAGAATTTTCAAGACATCCGTAGGGCAGAAACACGGTCAGACGTCCACGGCGAAGATGCATAGTTCGCAAGGTTGGCAAACCAAATGTCCAATTGACTCTGAGCGAGGCTTGAGAACACAAAGCGTCCCCGGCGGAGCTCGGGGACTCCAGCTGCAAGAGGGAGGTGGGAAGTCATCACGCCCGCCCGGAAGATGGGGCCGGTGTTCATGGAATCGACTCAAGGGTCTTTTGCCAAGCAGTACAGTGGGGCGTTTGCGAACAAGGGTTCAGCTTACTGTCTGTGCAAATGAACTTCGACACAAACTCAGAAAAGTGCAGACATAGAGGTTGAGGATGGTTCAACAAGGTTGACGAAGTGTTCTACTTTAGGTATGTCATTACGTACAAGATTTTGGTTGCTTACTGGCTTCGCCGCTTCACGTGGGTGGTTCCATTGGCCGCTTTGCGAATTGATGCCGCATACGGCATTCCGGATGGATCTTGTGAGATTGCGCCTTATATCTGACAGGATACGCGACCTAGGCTGGCCAGCAAGCTAATGCACACCGTTAGTGACGTGACGGGCCGACCCCTACTTCGCAGACCTTGCGGCTTCGCGGGTGCTGGGCTCCTCTTTTTGCTTACTTTTTGTGTAAAATCCTGGTGTCCTACCTTTCAAGGGCGACTTTCGTTGACTCTCTCTCATTGGTGAGGTTGGTCTGGGGGAGGTTATCGTCAGAGTCAGGGGCCTTTGCCTTCCATCGCGTCGAGATGAAAATTTTGCTATTTCTGCTTTTAGCGACTCTTGTACCAAGCAAAGTCCTTTCCCGCGATTGGAAGTGCCTTTGAGAAGTATCTCGTCTTCCCCTCTCTTGTCGGCCTACAACATCTATCCAAGAACTCGAATCGAGGCCATAGATCGCCAACTCCTTGCTGAATACCTGGCCCAGACAAGGATTCCCACAATTGCCCGCCTGCCCACCAGCATGGCAAATCCACAAGAAGTTGACCCGCCCGACTGGAGGGGACCAGATGACCCAGACTGTCCATACAACTGGCCATTGTGGAAGCGCATCTACAGCACCAGTATTCCAGCTTTTCTTTGTGTTAACGTGTAAGCGCAACCCCCTCTCTGAAGACAACTTGAAGGCTCTGGCTGAAACCTACTCCCCCAGGTCATTCGCCTCTTCCGTCTACACCTCTGGCGCCAACGATGTGTCGGAAAAGTTTGGAGTGTCACATACTGCGTCTCTTCTCGGCCTTTCCCTCTTCCTCTGGGCCCTCGGTCTTGGTGCCATCATAGCCGCACCCGTGAGTGAATACTATGGCCGCAGGATCGTCTATCTCAGCACCGTCCCAGTCTTTGGACTTTTCATTCTGGGCTCGGGACTGGCACAGAACTTCACGACACTGATTGTGTGTCGCTTCTTCGCCGGCTTCTTCGGGAGTGCCGTTGTTTCCGTCGGTGGCGGGACCAACGCTGATCTATGGCCACCCGCACTGGCGGGATTCGTCTATCCTTTCTACTTCGTGTCTCCATTCCTCGGACCGGCTTTTGGTAAGAAATTATCCCGCTGCTCTCTTACGAGATCGTTTTTAACGGGCAAGTCTAGGACCTGTGATCGGGGGCTTTCTGGCCGAGGAGAAGGACTTTCGGTGGCTTGAATGGGTCGTCCTCTTCATGGTGGCCTTCAACTACATCTATGCCCTTCCACAATTCGAGACATACAAGAAGACTATCCTTCAGAAACGTATGCGTGCTGAGAAGCAGTCTGATGCGCCTCAAGCTCATTCGCTCAAGGTTGCTCTCCCTTCGAGTGCAATCATTCAACGTATCGTCCTCAAACCTTTCAAGATGCTCTTTGTCGAGTCCATCGTGCTCTTCATGACCATCTATATGGCATTCAACTTCGCTGTCTTTTACAGCTTTTTTGCAGCCTTTCCCTACGTTTTCGGGGGCCACTACGGCTTCACCCCAGGGCAGCAGGGTCTCACTTTCATCTCTATCGCGCTAGGCTGCGTCATCGGCTTCTTAGCTGTGGTCTACATCGACCGCAAGACCTACCCAGCGCTGGAGGCGAAATATGGAGTCGGTGCGGTGCCCCCAGAGTATCGCCTCTACGGTGCCATGGTCGGCTGCGCGCTCAATCCGGCCAGCCTGTTCTGGTTCGGATGGACAGCCGACAAGGGTGTCTACTGGCTCAGTCCAGTCATTGCGTCTGTGCCGTTTGCCGTGGGCAACATTATGGTCTATAGCAGCGGCGCGCTGTACATCATGAATTCCTATGGTTCGTTGCATGGCGCGAGTGCTCTCAGTGCCAACAGCCTTCTGAGATATGCGGGTGGAGGTGCATTTCCACTGTTCACGGTGCAAATGTTCTCCTCCATGGGGATCGGATGGGCGAGCAGTCTGCTAGGCTTTGTCTCGGTAGTTCTGGTGCCAGTACCATGGGTGCTATACAAGTACGGGAGCAGAATCAGGGCCCATAGTCAGTATATCACGATTAAGGAGCCAGCATCTGGCAACCAGACTTCGTTGGAGGAGATGACAAGCGAAGACACAGAGAGTTGATGACCCGGCGGTCATTGGGCGAAGAAAACTTGGGAACTGATAGACTCATACAGAAGTGACACTGAGACGGCCATGAAGCTCTAGGCTGTCACTATGCATGATTCAAAATTAAGAATTAGAGGGGCAGCTTCGTGCAGCAACGGCCACATAACTAGGTCCTGGGAAGACATTCGCATAGGCCGGGACCCGTATTCGTTAACGAATCCCTGTGAGAAAACGTGATAAATTCGCGCCCCACGATCGAGGCGATGTAATGCTGCCTATTGTGTCAGCTGGAGGCAGAATCGTGGAGCCAGCACAGCCTTACGGCTGCCGACTTGTATCACCTCGGGGGTGCCAGTATTTCGTTACGCCGAGCAGATTTATAAGTCAGTGGCGCTTCCTCGCATGAGTCTCCCCTCGTGAAAGACTATATCACACTTCTTGCCGCTTCAACTTCCTTGCAAAGACGAGTCATTTTTCATTAGGCCATCGTAAGCACTGCATACAATGGGCTCCATTCCGACTCCTGACCCGGTCCGACTGGCCATTCTCGTTACAGATGAGCCGCTGCCTAGCGTATCGGCCAAGCTAGGCCGCTTCGACACTATCTTCACGAACCTTCTCGAAAACGCATGCGAAAGCCTTGACCCACCGCATGCCCTGAAGTCTCAGCTGGCGCTGACTTCGTACAACGTGGTGGCTGAAGACGGTGTGGATGCCGCTTACCCCGAGCCTGAGGATGTCGATGCCGTGCTCATCACGGGATCCCGGCATTCGGCTTACGCGGACGATGAATGGATTGTGAGGCTGACGGCTTTCACTCGGAGGCTTCTGGATGAGGGCCGTGTTCGCGTCATTGGTGTTTGCTTCGGGCACCAGATCGTTGCTCGCGCCCTTGGTGCACAGGTTGCCCGGTCCCCCGGAGGTTGGGAGCTGTCTGTCACGGAGCTGGAGTTGACAGACGAGGGCAAAAAGGTGTTTGGGTCTGAGAGCCTGGTACGTCCATTCCCTCACTCAAATATGAATTTGGATGAAATCCGTTGTGTCCCCAAATCCCCGGATCCCAAGCTATGCTGACCATGGGGTATTGCAATCATCAGAGCATCTATCAGACACATCGCGATGCAGTTCTCGGCCTGCCTTCTGGTGTCACATTATTAGCCCACACCAAGCAATGCCCAATTCAAGCCCTATATGTCCCTCGGAGGTTCATCACAGTGCAGGGCCACCCTGAGTTCTCACCTTTCATGATGAGCGAGATGCTACAGATCCGCCATCAGGCCGGCATTATTCCGGAAAAGCCTTTCAAGGACGCCATGTCAAGGTACTCGGATGCTCACGATGGTGTTTCCATTGGGCGAAGTTTTCTACGCTTCTTGAGGGAGTGATGGAAAATCTTTTCTATAAGCCAGTCGTATGTTAATCATACAACATCCACGTCTGCAGAGATCGTTTGGCACAGGGGCCTAGTGAGACGGACATGCTAGGTCGACGCAAGGTACAGGCTCGTTGCGGACATTCATACAAATAATGAATTATGACTATAGTCGTTCATCCTACAAGCGAAAGGAAACATCCATCATCTGTATCGTGACTTTCTACACTCTTCGTATTATATACTCGTCCACTACTAATGATGGAACTCCTCCTTTGCCTATTCAAAGGCACTGGGAGTACCATTGATTTGCGACGGTGCAAGTGTACGGCGACACGCACTGCGTAGGACCAGTCCACCCTTGTCCTCCGCACTGCCCGTACTGCGGGGCCAGGTTCGTCGCCGTGGCCGCGGGTGCGGAGCTGGTTGAAGTTCGGACCGTGGTCGAAGTAGTCAAGGTAGAAGATCTAGCAGAGGAAGTCAAGGAGGTCACAGCGGCCGTGGAGCTCGAAGCCCTACTAGTTGATGTCGGCGCGACAGTGGTCGCGCCACCACCGGAGGAAGCAATAGCGCCAGAGGCGTAAAATGCACCGCGTCCGTTGGTACCGACGTAGACCAGGTTCTCCTCGTTACCGGAGCCGGCAAGCTTGGCGCTGTCGATGGCGCCGAAGCTCTGAGTGCCCTGGAGGTCCGTCCAGGAGGCACCAAGGTCGGCGCTGCCATAGAGTCTGCGGCCTGCGGAGCCGGTGCCGAAGGCGTAGAGGTTCCAGTTGGTACCGGAGCCCTTTCCGAGAGCGATCTTGTTCGTGTTGGTGAGGGCGGTGGAGACCTGGGTGAAGGTGACGCCGTAGTCGGTGCTGTGGAAGATTCCAACGTCGGTCGAGACCCAAACGTCGCCGGCCTTGGCCGGGTGGGCTTCGACGTGGCGGATTCCGGTGGCGGAACCGAAAGAGCCGGAGGTGGTGAACGTTGCGCCGAGGTTAGTGGAGCGGTAGAAGCTGGAGCCGGAGGCGCCGTAGAAGACGGTGTTGTTCTTCTTGTCACTGGCGATGATGGCGCCGGCTGGTATGCTGGAGACGACGGCGAGGGAACCTTGGTTCTGGCTCCTCTGCACTCCGAGAGTTGCGGTCGACCAGAGAATCGTGTCGGCATCGGCAGAGTACGCGACTGTGCCGCCGTACTGCGTCGTGCCGGCGGCGTAGTTAATGTTCCAAGTGGCTCCGCCGTCTGAACTGACAGCCAATTGTTGGGTGCCTGCAGTGTTGCCGACGCGAACGACGTTGGCGACCTTGTTACCAGCGTAGTCGACGCCTACGGAGCTAGCCCACATGGGAGTAGTCCAGGTGGTCTGGGGTGATGTGTCGAGGTTGCTCTTGGCCTTGAATGTGAATCCGTTGTTGTCGTAGTTAGCAACCAACAGCTCTGAGCCTCCGGGAGCACTGGCGAGTTCTTGTATGGACATCTCCTCGATTCCATCTGCGAGAGACTGGATATTGACCTTGGCGCCTGTGTCCCAGTTGGTAAGGTCGTGGCCACCGAAAATGGTCAGACCAGTTCCCCACAGCCAGTGGTTTGAGTCGAGGGGATCGATCTCAAGGGATTCAATCATCCAACCCAAATCTTTAATGTCAACGTCAAGGAAGTTGGTTTTGATCCAAGGAGCCTACTCTTTGTCAGCGCAAGAGCTCTTCCGGACACATGCATTTAATACGTTTTAGTCAAGCGATTTTGCACATACCTTGGGGCTGGTCTGAGCATAACTGATGTTCTGGTTGCCGTCGGTACCCCACGTCCAGATCTTCTTCCATGTCGCCCCAGAATCAGTTGATCTGAACAGTTGCGCATCCGGCCACCAGCTGTTAAGAGTCGCAACGACCAGGGTACCGGGCTTTTGCATATCAAGACCCAGTCCACCTTGATAAGATCAGCATGAGAGCTCTCACGGTCTGGCTTTGCTGATTGGCTTGACGAGTCGGGCAAAATTAAGAACAGGAGCTTACCGAAACCAAAGTACAGGTCGGAGCCTGGCGCGACAGGGGTAATGTCCTTCCAAGTGTTGGCAGTGAGGTCGTATCTCCATACGGAACCTGAAGTACCGTCATAGGGACCAGTACCGTCCGAGTACGTCAGGTAGAGAGCCTATTTCTCCTCATTAAATGGCTGTCAGTCGTTCGGGGAGTGCTTCATCACCTACCTTCTCTGTGGGCTGAATCCTTCCCTTGTGAGGGAAGTATCTGCCAGGCTGGCCAGCAACTGCGGACCAAGTTGAACCGGCGTCGTTGGAGACATAAACGGATGAAGTCGTGTTCTCGGCAACGCCAACAAAGATCCTTGAAGTAGCCCCGCTGAGAGCGGCTGAAGTTGAGTCGAAAGTTACAAAGTTGATGCCCTGGATGTCGCCGCTGTACTCGTTGTCGGCAGGTCCAGCACGGAAGGTGCCAACTGCGGTGAAGGAGGAGACCTTGGAGAAGCTTGTGCCTGAGAAGTGATCGAGTGTCAATCATATGCGCATCGAACTAGATGTTTTTGAATGGACTTGCCTCCGTTGGTACTCTTGTAGAGTCCATTACCACTTCGGGCACCAAAGTAGATGATGTTAGAGTTCTTAGGGTCTACTGCAAGACGCTCGCCATTTCCTCTTCCAGGCATGTTGCCTCCGACCTATTCGGTTGTCAGTGCTTGCGATTGATGAAAGTGGAAGCAACTCTCACCTTGAAAGGCAGGTCAGTGAAGGACCAGGTCGCGCCCTTGTCGGAGCTACGGGCAATTTGTCCATTATTTGGGTCCCTAGGATCTACGTCAATACAGTCAAGCATTTGAGAACGATGCAATGTGCATACCAGCTGTTGGTATACATGCCGACGGCGATGAAGACCTTGTTCGGGTCCTGGGGATCCAGCGCAAGAGCATCGACACCCCACCGGTTCCAGTGAGAATCATCAGCAAAACCGTTGGCGTCGGTCACCGGAGTCCACGAGTCATCGGCATTGAGGCGATACAGCCCGCCAATGTCGGTCCTAGCATACGCTACGCCCTTTGTTGTGGGATGGAATTGAATCGAAGGAACGAATCCTCCACCGCCGCCAATCTTGACGTTCTTCCAGGTGAAAGCCGCCTGGACCGGAGCCGCGAGGGCCGCCAGGAGGAGGTTGGCGTATTTCATCATGAGCCAAAGACTTCTTGTCTTTAGAGGACGACTTGTCGACGGATGAGAGGCGGGCAGTGAAGTCACCTCTGGATCTATACCGGCAGGTGATATAGGATCTTGTGGGGATGTAACAGAAAAGGAGCAAGATCGACGAGGGCGTGGTTCACGCCGGGGCTATAAATGAATGAGTGCCTCTTCCCCATCAACATACCGTCGGATCGCCGGCATCCTAAAGAAACGTATCGGGCCACAAGGCACACTGACAATAAGGTCGACATCAAGAAGCCGGGCAAGACCATCGTGACTCCGCGCCGGAAATGAGACGAGTCAAGACTACAGCTCCCCAAATTCCATCAATCAACTCTCCAAAGCCATGGCCAAGTCAAATGAGGTTGCGGCCCCAAGCTTCCCGACAAGCCGGCCGCACTACTCCCGTTTACCGTTGAAGGAAGGAAAGCTTCCGCTTGGAGGTCCACGAAAGAGGGGCCACTGGGAGCACATAGTGGACGAGCTCATTTGTACACGCAGGTCCCAGGAACAACGTACATAGCCAAGCATTCCCCCCATCCTCTCGGCCCAAGATCGTGATTACCCAAAGAGGAAATCGAGGCCTGTCATCCGGGTCATCACATGATGGTTACCACCCTCCCTCTGTGGGATGACCGCGGTCTGCAATTACCGTCATGGCGTGATGCAAGACAGACAGCTGGTCCCTTGGATTTGGTTCTTGACACCCCCAGAAAGCCGTCAGGGACGCGTCCCGTCGTTTCCGTATAGTCGGCTCGCCCACGTTAGCCGCGGTGGACCGGCAAACTTATTTGGCTCTTTGGCGATGGGGGTCTGCAGACTGCACGACGGACGGGCCAAGTCCCAAGATTCGGATCCCAGAGGATCTGCTTTCCCCATGGGCGCAATGTGAAGAGCATGGGACCTGGCCAGAAGCGGGAAGCGGTAGATGGCTGAGTTGAGAAGAGATGAATTTGGAAGAACGACGAGGGTATTTCGCCCAGACGGCGGGAATGGGGGCATTCGATTGGCGGAGCCCCGTCGGGAATGCGTGGTGGTGGGGTGGCATGGCTCGGTGTAACATTCATACCAAGTCTGGTACGGAGCGAGTGCAGTGACGAGAGTCAGTTTCTCCAAAAATTGAACGATATAACGGAGTCTCCAAATCAATATTATTCATCAATCCCACCAGAAGCGGGATATGAAAAGGATTTGTTATATAAATTAGGGGGTATCGTGGAAGAAGCGTCGAGCATAAGTACCTAAGTTGGGAGGTAGCCCAGTGTCTCCATGCTCTCTGTCATCTCTTTTCTTCCTTCCATTATTTCATCTCTCATTTCATCCTTTCTTTATTTCTTTCAATGATCAAGTGACCGGATGGACTATGTATAGTACTCAAGGCATTGTCACTTAGATACCAGAAGTGGTCGTACCGACGTTGACGACATTACCAGCCTCGTCGACAGCAACCTTTGTCTTCTTGGTTGACTCTTTCCTCGGGTTGGGCGCCTCAAAGATGGACTTGAGCTCTTCCAGCGTCTTGCCAGCCGTTTCAACAAAGAAGAAGTAGATGATTGCCATTTCAATGCACTAAATTCGTCAGCAACCGTCACAGCCAATGTCAAAAAGTGTTGGTATGAACTTACAATCCAGGCAATGTACACAAGGTACAACTTCCACGCAATCTTCTCCATACCGACGGAGATACCGTAGGTGTTGATCATGATAGCGACATTAAGGAATAGGAAGGAAAGTCCAGATCCCTTGGCGCGGGTGCGGTTCTCGAGACACTCGACAGCATACAGCGTCTGAAGCGGCGTAAAACCCCAGGCGAAGCAGATACCAAAGACGTAAATGGA